TATCATATACACACGGATTCCCAATATACCTATAATATCCATTCCTGTGCCCACTACAGCAAGAAAGAGGCTTCTTGACAGCCTACGGGACTCCTATAATAAATGGCAAGCTGATCTAAGCCCTTCTTGATGCTGCCATCTGCCAACAAAGCCACTATTATTCACTGCAAAGGCCATCAGAGAGACAAACTGTACTTCCCAGAAGCTAACCAAGCTGATCTGACAGCTAAAGCAGCAGTCCACAGAGAAACATTCCCATCTTTTCTCTTTAACCTAGCTTCTGTCTACTCAGAAATCTCTCCATTCCAACAAAAAAAGAATCTCTAAGGACGGCTCTTGATGGATTCTATAATAAACTAATACTCTTCTCTTCAAGCCACCTTTCTAAAAAAGAAAAACCTCCACTCTCTGTATCACTCCAACCCAAACTCTTCCTATGTGATTTCCTAAAATCACACACTCACCCCTAACCCACTCCATACAAGAAACTCTGCACAAGAGATCTCAAGCTATGTGACACCTGCCAAACCACTAACTCAATTCTAATATCAGATCACCCCTATCCTCTAAGCCCCAGGCCTGTGAATCACTTCACAGATTAGAATGACTTCACCTATATGCCACCAGTTCAGTAGATATGTTATCTTTTGGTTATGGTGGAGGCTTCCCCATCACTGATAAAAGCAGTTACCACCGTCTCTGTAATATTAAAGGATCATGTCCCCTGACTTGGATTCCCCACTGTCATTGATAGAATTAACAGAATCTGCAAACAGGCTCTAACAGGGGCTGGCACTGTGGCTCACCTTCAAGTGCAAGCATCCCACATTGGCACTGGCTTACGTACCAGGTGCTCCATTTTCCATCCATCTCCCTGCTTATGGCCTAGGAAGGGAGCCAAGGAGGGTCCAAAGCTTTGGAACCCTAACTCCTAGCTCTTGGCTTCAGACCAACTCAGCTCCGGCCTCTGCAGTCATTTAGGGAGTGAACCAGCGTACAGATCTTTCCCTCTCTGTCCTCTTCTCTGTAAACCTGCCTTAAAAAAAAAATGCTCTAACTTGCTACCCACTTCTACTTAGACTGGGTAAAGCTCCTGTCCTTCCTTTAACCTGGCTAAAAGCAGACCTCTTTCCCAGAAGCCATCAATGCTCAGTCCATTGGAAATTTTACATGGAAGGCTTCTTCCCTCACCCATCCCCGCCCCTCAATAATTCTGAGGCTATTCCTCCTCTCCTCTTCCCCTGCACTGTTAACCACAGATTTTTGCAGACACTCATCCACCAGAACCATAACCTCTACCTTCTGATAATACTTCTACCTTTCAATCTGGTGATTAGGTCTATCTTAGGTAAATGAGGCAAGCTTAAAGCCCAAATGGAACAGGTAGTATCATGTGATACTAACCCCACTGCTGCCAAACTTAAGGCGCATCCCTTCTCTCTCTCTGCAAATACATTTTATTTCATTAAAACTAGTTACCTTTCTCTCTTATCATTTTACTCCCAAAGATCCACCACCCTTAGGTTGACACAGCTCCCATTATACCAGAACCACCTTTTCTAGTCTCTGACAATTCCTGGATTCCACAGATTCCTCCAAGTAATTCTAAAGGACAGTGGAGACAAAGAAAACAAAAGGAGACAAAAGACAAAGAGAGAGACTCCAGCAGGTAACCTTCTTGACCTCATTTCAGATTGTTGGCTGCAGGGCAATCTCTGCAACTTCACTGCTATGCAGACATCCATGGTGACCTTCTGTTTACATGCCTTATTGGAATGCTCTGTCATCCTCTGTTATATCTGCAGCTGTAGTCATAAACCTAATCCTTGACAGCAGTCACCCCAAATCCTGGACCCACTGCAAAAAAAAGTCTCTTAGCACTCTTATTTCTTCTGCTACATGCTGCTTTTAAAACCTGGTCCCCCTTCTTACCATGTGGCCCAATGCCTTTTTTTTTTTAAGATTTATTTTTCATTTTTTATTGAAAGGCAGATTTACAAAGAGGAGATACAGAAAGAAAGATCTATCCACTGATTCACTTCCCAAACGGCTGCAACAACTGGAGCTGATCCGATCTAAAGCCAGGAGCCAGAAGCTTGCTCTGGGTCTCCTGTGTCAGGGCAGAGTCCCAAGAACTTGGGCCATCCTCAACTGCTTTCCCAGGCTATTTGCACAGACCTGGATGGGAAGTTGAGCAGCCGAAACATGAGTCAGCGCCCTGGCACTTACGAGGAGAGGATTAGTCAATCGAGCCATCACACCGAGCCCAATATTCTTTGACTACAGGCTCCTACTCCTCTAGCTCATACACATTTACCATCAATCCCTATTCTCATCTTTGTTTTTAAAATTAACCCCAACATCTCTCTGTGGTGGATTTTGTATATATTCCTCCTCTGAGGGCTGGCAAATCCTCAGGCTTCCAGTTAGTTCTGGAGCACAGCCACAGGGAATTATTGATGTGAATCCAAAAGAGGCTGAAGAACTGACAGACCCACCTTACAAACCTTCCTCTGGCATTTTCACCATATCCTTGCTCATTAATCAAGATCAAACCCTGCATGCATCAGACACCCTTCCTACCCCTCCCCATAAAGTGGATTCACTGCTCCACACAGCCTGTAACCACAATGTCAACCTCCCAAGCCAAACTAGCTCCACCTTCAGCCATAGGTTGAGGCTGGCATAATTAGCCTAGAAGGGGGCCCAGCGGTGTGGCCTAGCAACTAAAGTCCTCACCTTGAACACACCGGAATCCTATATGGGCGCTGGTTGTAATCCTTGCAGTTCCACTTCCCATCCAGCTCTCTGCTTGTGATTTGGGAAAGCAGTCGAGGATGGCCCAAAGCTTTGGGTTCCTGCACCCATGTGGGAGACCTGGAGGAAGTTCCTGGCTCCTGGCTCCGGATCGGCACAGCACCGGCCGTAGTGCTCACTTGGGGAGTGATTCATCGGACAGAAGACCTTCCTCTCTGTCTCTACTCCTCTCTATATATCTGACTTTGTAATAAAAATAAAAAATAAATCTTTAAAGAAAATAAATAAAAATAATTAGCCTAGAAGGCATATCGGTAAGTACAGAGCCCATCCACTTCAATTCTGTATACCCCAAATCAGACTCTACTCTCTGTCCCCCACCTGGATGCATGACAAGCAACTCTGGACTTCACACTTATCAATTATTCTGGATGTCCAGGTGGGAGTCAGGACAGGAATGGACAAACTAGCAAAATCTGCAGACAAGGCATACACAACTGAAGGCATATCTCACTCATTCAAGAAAAATCTAGATCACCTAGCACAATTACTTCACCTCCAAACCAGGTGGACTTCTTGGCAGCAGTGATCCTTCAAGACCAAAGAGGGTTACATGTCCTCGTCTCCTCCAAAAAGAGAACTCTGTGTCTTTCTAGGTAAAGAATGCTGCTTTTATACCACCAAGTTGGGCAAGGTTAAAGAGAGGGGATCCAACCCATTAGAAAGCAACCTGAGGGCCTGGCTTGGAAATCCATTTTTCTTTTTTTTTTATAGATTCATTTTTTAACTTTTATTGCAAAGTCAGATATATACACAGAGGAGGAGAGACAGAGAGAAATATCTTCTGTCCGATGATTCATTCCCCAAGTGACCACAACAGCCAATGCTGCGCTGATTCAAAGTTAGGAGCCCAGATCCTTTATTGGGTCTCCCACGCAGGTGCAGGGTTCCAAGGCTTTGGGCCGTCCTCGACTGCTTTCCCAGGCTACAAGCAGGGAGCTGGATGAGCAGTGGAGCTGCTGGGATTAGAACCTGCAACCATATGGGATCCTGCCGCATTCAAGGTGAGGACTTTAGTCACTAGGCCATGGCACCGGGCTCTTGGAAATCCATTTTCCAAACAGGTCCAGCTCATCATTTTGGCACTGGCTGTCTTTCCCACTAGGCAGTTGATGTCTCTGCTCTCTCCAGTCCTCCTTAGCATCACAGTGCTTTTATTCCCACCATGAACAACTAACGAATTTCAAAAGTTCCTACATGAATAATAGCTGCTATGCCCAAAACCTTTGCATGGGGACCAAGACTCTTCTCCATCACAACATCACAATACCTCTGCATTAGCAGGAAGCAGCTAGAAAGAAACCAGAGGTCCCCCCATGCAAACCCAGGATTGATGGAGCAAGAACAAAATGTCTCAAATTCATTTTGTCCCATTAACAGGTCCTGCACTTCCCAGAATTCTTCAGCCATCTCAGCCCCACCTTGCCTCATCCCAGTGGTTAGCACTGAACACATCACGCTATAGTGTCTGGCCAACAGGTTAAGCACACCCCATTACCCTGAATCCAGTCTAGCGCTCCCCAACCAAGCCAGCCTCAGCCCACCCCTCCCAAGCTCTCTCCCCACTGACAACTCAGCCTTAGCCCAGCTCCCTCAAGTCTTCCCACCTACCTTATACTACATAAGCCACTACTCTGGGAGGGTGCTCTCTCTCCTGTATGTTCGCTGGGAATCCACTGCTGGGCGTTCACCACCAGGTGAATCCCTCCCAGGCTTATTTTCTGAATAAACTCTGGTCTGGCCAGGAGTTCTGTTCTTTCTCCTCTTCCCTTAGATTCCTTCCTTACATACGAGTGAGGGCTGAAGCCAGGTTTTCTGAGTCAGTCAAGTTTTGACCACATCTCTTAAGTCTGGGAAAAATACTTTCACAGGAGAATGCAAAAGGCTGTACAACCAAGGACTGTGGACGCAATTACTATAAAGAGTTGCTACACATTTTAAAGAACTAGAGACCACTCTGGAAGTCTAGGACGTTTCAGGCCGAGAACAAACAGCTTCTACTTAAGACAACCTTTGACAATAATTCGTTCTTGCCCTAAAACTTCGGTCACAGTTTCGCCTCACTTCCGTACGACTACCCAAGATGGCGGGCCCCGTTATTTTAATCAGATTCAAGATGGCGGCTCCCGGCTTCCCGCGCTGGGTCGCGCACGGACGTGCCGAGGCCACGCCCACTTCCGGCCTCCGAGCCTCAGCATGGCTGCTTTACTCAGCACGACTCTTATCTCAAGTGAGTGGCTGTCGCACCACTGGGGAGCACGTGAGCGAGGCGGGCCTGGGACCCCCGAAGCCGGCTGTGCGGCTTCTCCCCTTACTCCGTCGTGTTTCTTCCGTAGGTGTTCGGAGGCTGCACTGCAGCGCGGCGGCTCGGGCGGGCGGTCAGTGGCGACTCCAGTAAGTGCTGGGTTCGAGGGGACGGAAGGGAGCAAGAAACTTGCCCGGGTCCTCACGGAACTGTTTGTCTCCACCCAGGCAGGGCCTGCCTGCGAACCCCTCCGGGTACGGGCCCCTCACGGAGCTCCCAGATTGGTCTTTCGCCGGTGAGCACAGACTGTTTGCTGCCCTTCCCGGGGATGCGGTGGTACCAGCGGGGCGCCGGGGGCGGAGCGGGGCGGGGCTGGGACGGGGCGTGCCGAGCTCGCCCTGAAGCAGAAACCAGGTGGGGTTATTTTGCAAATTAAGTTCCAGCTATGAATGTTACCTGGACAGATCTTCAGGGTCTGTGGAACCAAGCAGAAGGTAATTCCGACGGGGGCCACTCTGGGGCCGGGGAGGGTTGCATTTCACAAGTGAGGGAAAAAGTAAAAAAAAAAAATGCCCTTCTGTGTGGTGTGTACAGTTGAGCAGTTGGATGCCAAATGTACTGAAAGCTCTTTCAAAGGCCATGGAAAAAGTCTTATACTTGAGCGAATCTATAATTGACTCTAGAGTAGGTGAAACCATTCTGAGCTGTTCATGTGGGACTCCAGGTTACAGGCAAGAAAATTGAGGTTTACAGAATTGCAAAAGGGCTTGTGATCAAAGTGTTCCCCCCAAAAAATTATAAAACAATGAATTAAAAGATAAGTTGATTTGCGTGCAAAAAAAAAAAATCTTGAAGTGCTTGCATACAGAGGGTCCTCAAGGCACACATGGAAAAGACAGATTACACCTAAGTTTCAACCTTTTGGTTCCCAACTAAATGTTTTTTCTTTTATTATCCTACAAGCTTATTGATATATACCCTGATACAGCTAGATAGCAGCAAAACCGGGATTAGAACCAGGTAAGGGCTGGGGCTCCATGACAATAAAAAAGCCTGCAGATTTATATCCTGCTGGATTCTCTACAGGCGACATGGTGTTTTACCTGGTGACTGAGGAAGATGATGGTTTTTTTCTCACCTATTCATATAGTATAGGAAGGTTAAGATTCCCTTACAGTAGGACCAAGGAGATGAATAATCAACACCTGATTCTCCCCCATTTTTTCTTTTTTTAAGATTTATTTTATTTTTATTGGAAAGGCGGATATACAGAGAGGAGACACAAAGAGGAAGATCTTCCGTCCGATAATTCACACCCCAAGTGAGCGCAACGGCCGATGCTATGCCGATCCGAAGCTAGGAGCCTCCTCCGGGTCTCCCACGCGGGTGCAGGGTCCCAAGTTTTTGGGCCATCCTCGACTGCTTTCCCAGGCCACAAGCAGGGAGCTGAATGGGAAGCAGGGCTGCTGGGATTAGAACTGGCGCCCATATGGGATCCCGGGGGTTCAAGGCGAGGACCTTAACTACTGCGCCATGGCGCCAGGCCCAACCCCTCTTCCCCCCATTTTTATTTGAAAGATCTTACTCTATTAGTTTAATTCCCAAATGCAGGCAATAAATAGGGTTTAGGCAGGGCTGAAGCCAGGGACCATCTGGGTCTTCTGGGGGGGCGGGGCAGGGACCCCAAGTACTGAGTCATCACTGCTTTTTCCTAAGGGATACATCTGTGAGAATCTAGAGTGCAAGGTGCAGCCTGGACTCAGCCCCAGGCACTCTGCTATGGGGTGTGGGTGTCCCACGGAGAAACTGAACACCTGTCCCTATACTTGGAATTTTTAAAAAATTCTTTGAAAGGCAGAGTGGCAGAGATCAATCTTCATTCCCCAAATGCCCGTCCATATACTTTATTCTCTTTTTAGGTTTATTTATTGATAGGTGATGACCACCAACCATCTGCCCACTGGTGGAATAATATCAGCAAGTTGTCCATATTTGTAACAGAAGTTTTATTGGAAAATCCACACGTGGGTCCCCTTTGCGCAGAGTGGAAGGAAGATGGAGGCAAAAAGGGCGGCTGAGATATATGTTGGGGATTTTCATACTCCTCTACACATGTGGACTGGCAAAGAGGCTGTCTGTGCCCCAATTATGTAAGGAATGTCCATTCAGGGGTGCCATTGGTCGGCTGGAATCCCGCCAGGCTGGCGACATAACTGGCTCCTGTGGGTCCTCCTGTTCCAGGCTGAAGCCTGGGAGACATGTCGGGTCTGGAGCAGACCCAACCCCTCACCTCTAGTGCCCTGGATAGCCATCATTTATTTTATCTCAAAGGATAGAATGACAAAGTAAGAAGAGAGATCTTCAGTCTATTAGGCAGTCCTAAATATCTGCAACAGCCAGAGCTTGGCCATGTGGAAATCATGAGCTTGCAACTCAGTCTGGGTCTCCACATGGGTAACAGGAACCTCAGTAGTTATGCCATTACCTGCCTCCCACTCAGGCCTGGTGTGGTAGCCTAGAGGCTCAAGTCCTCACCGTGCATGTGCTGAGATCGCATGTGGGCGCTGATTCTAATCCCAGCAACCCCGCTTCCCATCAAGCTCCCTGCTTGTGGCCTAGGAAAGCAGTTGAGGACGGCCCAAAGCCTTGGGACCCTGCACTGGTGTGGGAGACCTGGAAGAGGATCCAGGCTCCTGGCTTCGAATTGGCACAGCTCTGGCCCTTGCAGCCACTTGGGGAGTGAACCAGCTGATGGCACCAAGCAACTGTTTTAACTTGCTAATCCTCAACATCTACCTTGGTCCCTGAATCTCATTTGAGCCCTCCATTCTTGCTAACTTTGTGACCTAGGGCACATTGCTTAGTTTTACCTGATTCTCAGTTCCCACAACTGTACAACATACCTATCTCATGGTTGTGTGGACAAAATCAATGACCAGTGGACAGCACTTTGCATACACAGTAGTGGTTTCTTTTCCCAGGACATATTACTTCATTTCTGCTTATCTTAAAAAGGCCTTAGGCAGAATTTTCACTGCTTCTTTTCGCTGCAGGTAAGTGTCCTTTCTCCTCATCTCCTTTGCACAGTACTTGAGATCAGATAGCATGTCTTTTCAGGAAGTCAGCAGACACCTTAGGGAATTTGTGTTATGAATTTATGTGCCTGCATCCTGTGAATAGCAAAAGCTGATGTAGAGTTCCTGATCCCAAAGAATTTCATCTGTCTGTGAAAACAAAGTGTGGAAATTTTAGAAATTAAATAATATTTTAGTAATCTGCTATCTTCCAGAAGGATCTAGACAGCTAAATGACATTACAAAAATAAATAGCAGGGCCTGACACAGTGGCCTAGCAGCTAAAGTCCTCACCTTGAATGTGCCGGGATCCCATATGGATGCTGGTTCTAATCCCGGTTTCCCTGCTTGTAGCCTGGGAAAACAGATGGCCCAAAAACCTTGAGACCGTGCATCCGTGTGGGAGATCTAGAAGAGGTACCTGGCTCCTGGCTTTGGATTGGTGCAGCACCAGCCGTTGCCATCAGTTGGGGAGTGAATCATTGGACAAGATCTTCCTCTCTGTCTCTCCTCCTCTCTGTATATTTGACTTTACAATAAAAATAAAATAAATCTTTACAAAATTAGCATACAGCCATGCTGTGGCATTGCAGGTAAAACTGAGCTGTGTGGCTGGCTTCCTATATGTGCAGCAGTTTGAGTCCTGACTGCTTCCATTTCCAATCCAACTCTCTGCTAAAGTGCTTGGGAAAACAGCAGAAGATGGCCCAAGTACATAGGACCCTGCACCTATATGGGATACCCAGAAGAAGATGGCTCAGCTCTGGCCATTGCCACCATCTGTGGAGTACCCAGCAGATGAAAATCTGAAATATATATATATATATATTTTTTTTTTTTTTTTGCAAAGTCAGATAGAAAGATCTTCCGTCCGATGATTCATTCCCCAAGCGACCACAATGACCAGTGCTGCGCCAATCCAAAGACAGGAACCAGGAACCTCTTCCAGGTCTCCCACATGGGTGCAGGGTCCCAAGGTTTTGGGCCATCTTTGACTGCTTTCCCAGGCCACAAGCAGGGAGCTGGAAGTGGAGCAGCCAGGATTAGAACCAGCATCCATATGGGATCCCAGTGCATTCAAGACGAGGACTTGAGCCGCTAGGCCATGGTACAGGGCCCGAAAGACAGATTTTGTATAGACAGAAGGAAAGAGAAAACTCTTCACCCACTGGTTTAACTCAGGTAGCTGCAATGACTGGAGCTGAGCTCATCAGGAGCTTCTTCCAGGTCTCCCACGTGAGTGCAGGGTCCCAAGGTTTTGGGCCACAGACAGGGAGCTGGATGGGAAGTGGAGCAGCCAGGACATAAACTGGCACCCAGATGAACCAGGATCCCATCACTTGCAAAGTGGGGCATTAGCCAATGGAGCCATTGCACCACACTCATAAATGATACATGCTTCTTTCAGGAGAGCAGGCTGGTGGAGTTGAGGTTACAGATGAGTATCTGGAAAAGCTGGGGTTTGAATAGACGTAAAAATAACTATATGATCAGGAGGAAAAGGACAGGAGGCAATTTCATGGCCGAATAAAGTGGAATTGGGCAGTGGGCTCACCGAAAAGGAATCAAGCCAGTCGATGCAGGATTTTCAAGTGTAAAGCAGTGGCCTTGGCTTTGCGGAGGAGCTACAATGCAGGCTAATGAGGGGTCAGTGAAATAGAATAGGAGAAGCCTGTGAACTTTTGGCAGATTGGTCATCCCTCAGCTTTGAAATGAGGGACCTGACTTAGGAAAACCAAACCACCACAAGCCTGAAGTGGAAGAGAACAACTGAATGTTGATTCTTCGTTTTACACGGTGCCACAGATCATCCCTAATCCTAACTTCGCTCTCTCCTCTCCATCTGTAGATGGCCGCCCTGCTCCCCCAATGAAAGGCCAGCTGCGAAGAAAAGCTGAAAGGGAGAAATTTGCAGTGAGTGTCTAAAGCCCTAGCCAGGGCTACATACTTGTCACCGGAGGGATTGGAGGGGGAGTTTTTATTTTTGTTTTTGTTTTTTTAAGATTTATTTATTTTTATTGCAAAGTGAGATATATACAGAGAGGAAGAGAGTCAGAAAGAAATATCTTCCATCCGATGATTCACTCCCCAAGTGACCTCAACGGCTGGTGTTGTACTGATCCAAAGCCAGGGGCCCAGATCCTCTTCCGGGTCTCCCGCGCTGGTGCAGGGTCCCAAGGCTTTGGGTCGTCCTCGACTGCTTTCCCAGGCCACAAGCAGGGAGCTGGATGTGAAGCAGGGCTGCTGGGATTAGAACCAGTGCCCATATGGGATCTCAGCACTTTCAAGGTGAGGACTTGAGCTGCTAGGCCATGGCGCCGGGCCGCCCCCCCCCCCTTTTTTTTTTTTAAGATTTATTTTATTGGAAAGTCAGATATACAGAGAGGAGCAGAGACAGAGAGGAAGATCTTCCATCCATTGATTCACTCCCCAAGCAGCCGGAACGGCCAGAGCTGCACCAATCTGAAGCCAGGAACCTGGAGCCTCTTCTGGGTCTTCTATGTGGGTGAAGAGTCCCAAGGCTTTGAGCCATCCCAAGGCTTTTGGTGCATGCAAGGCGAGGACTTCAGCCACTAGGCTACCACGCTGTGCCCCAGGGTAGTTTTTATTTATTCGAGATATTGACAGCTCCCAGCTGGCTGGTTCACTCCCAAATGTCCACAATAACCTGGCCTGGGCCACACCAAAGCCAGGAGCTAGGAACGCATGCGATCCAGGTCTCCCATGTTGGTTTCAGGAAGCTAAAGCCAGGAATTAAACCCAGGTACTCTGATTCAGCATGTGGGCTTCTTAGCTACTAGGCTAAATCGCTGCCCCCAGCAAGAAACAAGGTAATTTGCCTTGTGCAGGGTTGCACCTGAGATCCTGAGGTCTTAGCAGCCAGGGGTTTTACTGAAGCTGGAAGAAGGGAGGACCCAGGAGGCCGTCCCAGGTCAGGCTGCCTCCCTTTGGCTGCCCTCCCTAACATGCAGTCCCACCCGCTCCCTTGTGAGCAGGTCCATTTTCAAGCTGAAACCTCCACCTCTGGCAGTGAAAGGACAGATGGTTTAGCACTCAAGTCCCAGGTATCACCCTCATGGGTCTTCCTGTCTATTTCAGAGACGAGTTGTGCTGCTGTCACAGGAAATGGATGCTGGGATACAGGCCTGGCAGCTCCGGCAACAGAAGCTGGAAGAGGAGAGGAAGCAGAGAAACGTGCTGAAGCCCAAAGGGGCTTCACCACATGGCCCACCCCCACATCAATAAAAGCAAATCACACCGTCTTCTCTTCCCCAGCCTCTCTGGTTCACATTTGTACCCCCTAAGGCCTCATCCCAGCCAGAAGACAACCTCGCTTCCTCCTCCTCCGACACCAAGAAGGACAGGCTGCAAGATCGTTGCCTGTGATGCTTGGCTCAGTGCCCTCATCCTGGCTGCGTGCCAGTTTAACAGGATCTTGCTCTAGAATCACTAGGCTGTGCACTCCAGGCAGCAGGACTGGCCCAGCCTGGAGCAGTAGTGGCTCTGTGCACCTGAAGCCTGAAGAGCAGTTCTAACCGGGCACCCAAGCCTTTAAAGCCCACCCACACACAGCTTGGGCTGTGTGCATGCAGTGGGTGCTTAATAAATATATTTTGATTTAAAAAGACTTTCCAAATGAGCTTGTTTTCTCAGCAAGCAGCTAGTATTGATTTTCCTAAAGTTTAAATACTTGATCCAGGAGAGTACCCCAAGGCCCATTGGAAGAGAACTAGATGCCAGATGCTCTGCTGACAGTTCAGTTCTGAGTAGCCATCGTGCTGACTGAATTCCAGAGGTTGGTTGGAGATTTCCCAGCATCCTCCCACTCATGTATGTGGTTACGAATGAGCCCTACCCAAGGATCTGTACCCTGCACATGCTTCACACAAGCAGCCTCCCAGGACTTGGGCCACCCTTCCTTTTACTAATCTTCCACCCCCCATGAATTCTAGGGCCCAAGAAGCCGTGATCCCATTGCAACACAAAGCACTGCCCTGTGCTTCCGCCACAAACATGGTAATTCCTGAAGTTTCCTACCTAACCACATTCTATCCACCCTCTTTTATTGCTTTTCTTCCCTTCCTCCTGCTATGACCTCCTTCCTCTCACTGACCAGACGCAATTCTTGGATCTTAGATTTCGCTGATGGTTGAGTTTTCTGTCTCCCACACTTTTCCTGCTTCACAATGTTGTGCTACTTTTCCAGATTTGGTTCTCACCCTCTTATCTGCCTCCCTTTCTCACCATCAGCTTTGGGGGGGGGGGCTCCCCTTTCCCTGAATACCTCTACCTTTTGTTCCCAGACACTAGTCATGCCCTGAAAGAGATCCCAGCTTAGAAGGAAGGCTTTGCCACCTCTTTCAACGTGGAGGCAGAACCCAAAGCCAAGGTCCTGACTCCTGTCCCTCCCTGCTTCCCAGCAGTTTCATCAGATCTGATTCGCTTTTTCCCCTGGAGTTCATGGCCTGGCATCCTTCCCCTCCCCTCCCCAGCCAGTTCTAATTACCAGGCTGCTAGATTGCAGGGGACAAGGGGAAAGGGCACATGATGGTCTTTGCAGAGCTGACCCCAGGGCCCAACTTGCAGTTAGGTTTACCGTTGGGTGACTGTGCTTTGTTGAGGGTTTTTGGCAGGGGAGAGGAAGGGACAGAGGTGGTTGTTCACGGGTCCCAGCAAGTCCATCCTTCCCATCCCACAAACTGCTAGTAAACTGTGGAAGGCTTGCAACCCAGGTCTCCCAGCAGGATGGGCGGCAAGGCTGGCCCACCACAGCGACCACCGTCCCAGCCCCGAACTCCAGGCTTGGCCTAGCCACAAGCTTCCAGTACTTCGCACTCATATGCTGAATACCAAAGGAAATCAAGCCACCCAAATTGTGCTTAGGGAGAGAAAAGTCTCCCACATCCCGTCCCCTGGGTACCTCTCAGCCCCCTGCTGTCGCCTGCGGCCTCAACCCCTGCAGATGGCAGCCTGCACCATGGAAAGGCAATTTAGGATTTCACCCCCCGCCCCTCCAGCTCTTGGCTGTAATTGGATTCAGGCTGAAACAACCACGTCCCCACCAGGAAAGGAGGGCTTTGGGGCGGGGGCAGGAGGAGCGGCTGCGGGAGAAGGGAGGGACCAGAGAAGAGAGGCGAAAGGGCTCCGTTCGCCGACTAAGCAGAAGAAAGATCAAAAAACGGAAAAGAGAAGAACAAACAGGCTCTTCCAGAACAGCCCCTCTCGTCTCCCAGCCGGCCGCGCTCTAGGAACCCAAAAGTCTTGAGCTTCTCCGAGACAAAGGCGCCGCGAACGAGTGGCGGTGCGACCCCAAGGCGTGGGCCCCGCCGCGCGGAGCCCGCCCAACCCGGCTGCCCCGACGGTTGCGGACCATGTCTCCCGCCCCACGACCCTCCCGCAGGCTCCTGCTCCCCCTGCTCACGCTCTGCACCGCGATCGCCTCCCTCGGCTCGGCCCAAAGCAACAACTTCAGTCCTGAAGTAAGTGAACTCCTCTGGCCTTTCGCGTTCCCGGAGTTGCGCCCGCCGGGGAGGCAAGTCGGGGTGGAGTAGGGGGTCCCTCAGGAGACACCTCCGGGGATGTCGGGATCTCCGTTGTTCCCGTCTGCAAGATCGCCCTTCTTTTCTTTACCTCCTCCAAACTTGCAAGTCGGCTCAACTTTTGCCTGTCGCCGCCGACTTATTTTTTTCCCCCCAATCCTTCCTTTCCTTGCAACAACTTAACCGCCGGGCAGGCAGCTGCCCTCCCTACTACAGTTCCCTTGGGCTCTGCGCTCGACTCCGGAACCACCAGGAGAGCCTGCTAAGTAAGCATCTGGACTCCGCTGCAGGCCCGCGCTGCCCGGGTCCCCATCCCGGGCGAGTTTGGTGTTTCTGCCACTTCCCAGCTTTCCGGCGCACTCCCGCCGCAGGAGCCGCAAAGCGCGCTCCTTCGTGTCCCTGTGCGCACCCAGGGCCTCAGCCGACCCATGGGCGGCCAGGTGGGGCCAGGCTCCCGGGGAGACCCCAGTCCTCTGGTCTCCCCACCCACTCCGGACCACCATGTCCGGCCAGAGCGTCAGCATGTAGGGTCCCGGGACACCGGCCGCCTACGTGCACACACAAAGCTTTCCTTGTGAGCTGGAGTGGGGGTTCTGGCAGGCCACCCCCACCACCACCACTCCGTGCCCCCAGCCGTCGGCGCCTTCAGGCCCTTTGTGGTGATAATTGGTTTTCTACGTTAATTGCAGGGAGAGTCGCGCGGGAATCAGGAGAGGGCCTGGTCCAGGGAGCCCTCGATTGACACTGGCGCCCCTGCCCCCATCCCTGCCCTGACCGTGGCCCACCAGGCCCAGGAGGAAGCCGCGTGGGAGTTGTCTCAGGAGGCTTTTCCTCTCTGTCTTTTATTTTGGGGTGAAGGTGGGAGACGGATTTAAATCAGCTTCTTATTTTGGGCCATGCCAACCCACTCAAACCAGGCAAGGGCCTGGGTGCGGTCGGGAGGGGCCAGGAAGGGTACAGGGAGGAGATGGGGGGATGGGTTCTGGACTTGGCTTCCTTAGGCCCACCCGCGTTGGAAACCCCTGGAAATACAAGAAATGGGCTGTCTCTGTGGCTCTGAAAAGCAGCTGGCACCCATGGAGCAAAGCACGGCCCTAGAAATGGCTGGTGGAGTTTTCAGGGGCCAGGAGCAGTACAAATCTACCCTGGGGCCAGGACTCCCTTGCCTGCTGAAGTTACCAAAAGTCACAGGAACCAGGCCTGGAGCCCTCCTCCCCTGCGAGGAGCCTGACAGCTCCTAACAAAAGGAGCCTGGTCAGCTGGGGGCTGCCCACTGCCAACTTGACTGCCCTGCCTTTTTTCCTCTCCCCTGGCCCATGAGGCCCCCTAGGGGAGGGGCGGTGGCAGCCTTGGCTCTAACTTAAGTGGGTCATGAGCCCTCCCAGTGCCAGAATCCTTTTTTTTTTTTTTTTTTTTTTTTGTTTGTTTCTGGGCCATGGAAGGGTGGGAAGCAGAGGGAGGGAAGAGCACACCCCAGGGGCTAGGATCAGGCCTTGCTGCACAGCCTGGCCATCCTGGCCCCCTCACCTCTCCAGGACTCCCAAGCAGAGGGGAAGTGCTGGCCTGGCTTGTACCTAAGCCTAGGGGAATGCCTGGAGACAGAGCAGTCCACTGAATTCTTTCACCCTACATAAAGTCGGCTTCTCCAGACCCATGTACATGGAAAAGCCGGGGTGGCTCCCCAGTCTTGCACCAGCTCCAGCACAGGCCTCTCCTCCCGCTGGCAGGCCTGGCACATGGCCCTCCCAACCTCCACCCCGCCCCAGACACAAGAGTCTTCTCATCTGTGGTTCCAACCTCAGAGGCTCTGTGGTTCCTGCTTTGCTCAAAGCCTCCCTCTGGGAGACGGAGGCAAAAATTTTGCTTGGGCCTGGGAGGAGGAGAGCACCAGGGCACTTCCTGTCCAGGCCTCGTGGCTCTCTGGAGTCCCGGGCTGTCCCGTTCTTGAAGGAATCTGTCTTCTTCCCTATAGGCTCTGGGCTGTGAGTGTGTACACCTGCTTCCTCTCTCTTAGAAGACTCACAGGGGAGGAATTTCTCCGAGAGTCCCTGGACGGAGGATTCTGCCTCCCTCCTGCCGTCTGACCTTGGGGATCTCCCCTCACCTGTGCTGTCTTGGTGTTGAGGCCAGGGGAGGGTGGTCTGGCTCACTCTTCTGACTCCCAACTCCCATGAGTAAGCCACTGTCATCCTACCCTGAGTCCTGGAGCAATGTTCCTCCACTAGTGGTTCACAAGCCTGGGGTGTGTCTCTCCTACAGGTGAAGCAGGGGCAGAGGGAATTTCCTGCATACCTGGGCACAGGCCACAGCAGGCCTACAGAGGATTCAGGCTGTAACATCAGCTAGCACAAGTCAGGGCTTGTGTGAGAGTTCCCAGAGAGTACCTGGGCACTGAAATACACTCTGCTATAACCCCCTGGTATAGCAGAGGTTAATCCTTCACACACCCTCCCCCCAACACACACACACACCATCATCATCATCACCCTGGGCGGTGTTGGTGCTGGCCAGGCCTATTGGCTGGGAACTGACTGGTTGTTTACATCTCGTGCCTTAACTCTTGTCAGCCTTGGAGGAATCACTTCCCAAAACCATGTTGCAATGCTCAGTCAGCCCTGTGGTCGCGGGTCTGCAGTCAGCTGCTCTTGAATCATACCAGCCCCCAAGCAGGAGTTCAACTCCACCTCCCCGGAGACCTGGGCCTTAGAGGTGAAGGTCCCCATGATCTTGGTCAGGGGCCACAGCACACAGCGGCAGCTTCTCCCCCTCTGTCCACCAGCCCATTCCCACCCCCCTCATCTAGGCATCCCTCTGTGGGCTGCTTAAGAAGTCAGGGCTGGCGCCAGGACCCAGAATTATCTGGGTGGTGTCTTCCCATAAAAAAAAAATCCAAGCATTTTCCGATTCCATGTATATCTTGACTGGTTTTATTTTTCAGGCTTTAGGAAGACATTCCATTGTTTTTACAATAAAGGCTGACTCTTTAGAAATTAGGCAGGGCTTTGCTGTGTGTGTGTGTGTGTGTGTGTGTGTATGTGTATGCCTTCCAAACACCAAAACTGTTGCTTTACTGTAGGGCAATATGC